AGAGACACCTTAGCCCTGAAAGGCATAAGGCGACTGCCGAGGAAGTCGACCGACTCCTTAAGGCCAACTTCATCAGAGAAGTACAATATCCAAAGTGGCTATCCAACGTGGTGCTTGTGAAGAAGTCCATGTGAAGATGGAGGATGTATGTGGACTTCACGGATCTCAATAGAACCTACCACAAAGACAGTTACCCCCTTCCTAGTATCGACCAACTTGTAGATGAGAGTGTGCCATTGTAGAACCCCGTAAATTTATTAATGAATATATTGAGTGATTAGTGATAAACTTTTCTTTTGAGATGAATAACCATGTATATGTTAAATAAATGTGATAAATAGTGTTTGGGAGCCTAGCAAGAATTTCTATGTTAGAGAAATCAAGGGGTTTGATCAGCATGTGATGGTAGGCATAGCAGGCAGTTATTCTGCTGTGCGGTCGACCGCGATGTGCGCGGCGGTCGACCGCACAGCAGTCGGGCACACAATAGACTTTTCTCCTGCTGCGCGGTCGACCGCGTAAGGCGCGGGGATCGACCGCACAGCAGGAAGAGAGTTTTTCTGTGTTGGGTCTTAATGGGTTTCGGGTCGGGTTGTTTTATTCGGTTTTTATTGAGCCCAAAATCGTATTTTTGTGTAGATAAGTAGATCTTATGGCATGGGATGCAAGAATCATATATTTCAGTCTTAAAAAGTTCACTAATGATGTTTAATTAAATGAGTTTTTGATTTGAAGCACTTTTATGAGAGTTAAACTCATTTTTACTATTTAAGAACTTTTAAAATCATGTTGTTTAAGGTTTGGGATTTTTGATAATGAGGTTTTAACCATTTAAACTTGTTGTGTATTGCCATAGTTCTCTATTAAAAAGTTATAGTGTAATGGGTATAGAAATCCCCAAGTTTTTGTATGAGTTCGGTAGCTGACAGAACCCAGAATGAGGTTCTGTCCGCCCAGCGATCGACCGCATAAGACTCAACGGTCGACCGTCGCGCGTTCCCGCCTGCAGAATCGTTTCTGCACTTTGGGCGGTCGACCGACATGACCTCTGCGATCGACCGCCGCTCAGCTTCTGAGCCCAGTAGTTCTCGGGCCTGCAAGCGGTCGACCGGAGTGGGTTCTGCGGTCGACCGCCGCACAGTTTTTCCTGCCCTGTTTATTTCTCCTGTATAGTACATTCGTTAGAGCGTTTGCCTCGATCACCTAACTTTGATCTTCAGTTGTACTAAGCATCTATGCATGATAGATGGCCTGAAATACTTGCCTAGAATCACACGACGAGTTGAGTGTGAGTTTTGCATAAGTAAACCAAGCCTTGTATATCACTAATACTTGTGCACAGTCCTCGTGTTGGACTATAATCCATATCAGTCCTCGTGTTGGACTATAATCCATTTCAGTCCTCGTGTTGGACAATTATCCATTTATCTCATGTGTTGGGAAATCTCTATATCTAATTCATGTACTGGACATCTTTATTAACCATGCATGCGACATTTCACATGAGTTATGACATGACATTTATGAAGAATAGGACACCACGTATATTGAGAGTATGATATGACACTTATGTCAATTACGACATGGAAATTATGTGGGACGTCACGTAAGACAATATATATGTATGTTCAGAGATATGTTGTATTTTCTTTTTGCTTATTTCTGTTTACATATTAGACTCCGGGTTTGGTACTTAAGGATTTTCAATTTGGGATACAAGGTATATACATGAGGGTTTCCTTGTTTGGATTATTTCGCTCGACGTACCTATGCCCGTGTTGAAACTTCATAAGTACTAAGACCCATTGTTTATTGTTAGGGTAATTGTTTATATATATATATATACTTTGTGATAACTGTATTTTTCTTATACAATGAGCCCTCTCCCTTGGGGTTGGTTGTGATGTTGCTCGCTAGCGCTTTGACGCTCGTTGTCCCTCCCCCTTTCAGGTCACGAGCCAGGAGCCCGGAGAGTCACAGGTTGATGACGACACACTTTAGTGTTCGACTGTCTATTCTAGCTATGTTTTATTTTGGAGCTCCACTATAGACTTTGTTTAGACGGTTGAGGACTTTATTCCTAGATGTTGTAAAGGCTGTGTGCCTTATTTCCTTTACTCAGACTTGTTGTATTTGGGATGTATTAAGAACTCCAGTTTGTTCATTTCAGACATTGACTTTATATTCCTGTATGTTGGATGATGAAATACTATGTGATCACTATTATTCCATCAGTTGTGTCTTGCAATATCTTGTACTTGCTTTTGTACCTACACCTGTTATTGATTCCACTAGACAGATGTTAATTGTGATGGTGAGACATGTTATTACACGGTGTGGTGCAATGCAGGTTTGACATTCTTGGTTTCACCTTGGACTGCAGCCTTGAGTGAACCCAGGGGCGTCACATTACAAACTTAAAATCTAACATGTTCTAATGAAAATCGATCAAATTTGTAATCTAACAAATCAAGAGTTTGGTTTAAACACTTAACAAACATGAATTTTTTTTGAAAAAGCTTTTACAATCTACTTTTAAAATGTTTTTAGAGTTCTGAATGGATTCTAATTTGAAATATTAATTCCAGCTTTTTTTTTGTTTCAGTGTGCACCCCCCCCTCCCCCCCAAAAAAAACAAAAAAACAAAAAAACAAAAAAAACAAAAAAACACACACACATAGGATACCGCAACAATATGTTGTAAAATTGTTCTAGCTCTTCCCTATAATTTTGATTTAATAAAGATATTATTTGTCTTTAACCTGAAACCCCTCAAATTTCAATCCTCAATTTTCTCACATTGGTGAGAAATATTTTTTTTCTAGAGTCTCCCGTTGAGAATCATATATAAAGAGGAATGAGAACACGACACATAATGCTTGGTTTGCCGCAAAACGAATTGCAACAAATGTTATATCAATAAATGTTGCCTGCAATTTTTTTGTTATTTGGATTATTATAATTTTATTGTAGAAAATGTATTCAAATTATAAATCCGGTGTTTGGTTGACAATAGGTAGTGTAGAAGCTGCATGACCTTTTTTAGATTTAAATTAAAGAGTTCTTTTTTAGATTTAAGAAATAACAGATTTTGCTCTCATCAAAATTTTGCAAATTTAAAGTATTTTGTGTGAATACTATATGTTGTGAAGATTGTATTGTGATACACTATTTATAGAAGTTTATTTTGACTCATAAACTTTTATTTTCTTATGATCAGAGAGATGGCAGGACGTGGTAGACCTCGTACCAGGAGAGCTACCCAGGCGGAGTCACAGCAGACTCCATCAGAGCAGCAGCCAGCTCAGTCCGAGCCTCAGCAGGCTCCACCCGAGCCGCAGCAGGCTCCTCAGTATTTGGTGGACATCATGGCTCCTCTCATTGCCCGGATGACAGCCATTGAGGAGTTGGTGACTACTCATATAGCACCATGGACACAACCACCACCGGTAGCTCAGCAGCAGGGGATACCTGCCGTTCCTGTCAGAGAGAGACCCCCAGAGGTCGCGCCTGCAGCTATTCCTCTAGCAGTCCCAGACAGAGCCACCGAGCAGGAGGCTTGGCTCCGTATGGTTGAGAGGTACCAGAAGATGAGAGCACCCGAGTTTCAGGGATCACCAGACCCTCTGGCAGCCCATAAGTGGAAGGAGGATGTGAGCAACATTCTCGACATACTCAGTGTGGACTCAGTTCAGAAGCAGAGGTTGGCATCCTACAGTCTGAAGGGTGATGCTGGGAGATGGTACCGACTTTAGTTCCCTCCAGAGCAGAGGATGACCCTCACATGGGAGGACTTCATATATTTCTTTGATGGGTAGTACATTTCTTCTGCAGCACGGACCGGGAAGGAGCTCGAGTTGTCCCAGTTGACTCAGGGGGATATGACCATGGCAGATTTTGAGAGCAAGTTCATGGAGTTGCTGCATTTCACGAGCATGTGGCAGACAGGAGAGCGTCAGGCTCAGATGTTCTTAGCAGGGCTTCGCCCTAATCTCCGTCGGTACCTCGTCTCGAGGAAGTTCTATTCAGTTAGGGAGGTAGCTGAGGCTGTCACTTCACAGGAGATTGAGACTTCCATGTTCCAGAAGGATAAGGAAGGGAAGGCCAAGACAGGGCAGAGTGGAGACAAGGGCAAGAACAAGAGGTCTTTTTCTGGACCTCAGCAGCAGCATCAGGGTCCTTATAAAAAGGGACCCCAACAGGATCAGAGGGCGCATCAGCAGCGCAGGTTCCAAGGGTCTTGCTTTAACTGTCGCAAGGTCGGACATAAGGCATCAGAATGCCGTAGCGCACCAGCAGGAGCCCAGCAGGGTAAGGGTCCGAACCAGCAGCAGCAGCGACAGCAGGGCAGAGGTCAGGGCCAGCAGAACAGGTTTGAGGCACCGCCAGCAGCTCAGAGGACTGAGGGTCAGATTCGGGCAGTTCAGGAGATTTCTCAAGGGCAGATCATCCCATATTCTCCATCCCCATCAACAGAGCAGTCTTCAGCCACAGGCAGGGTTTATGCAGTAGTTCCCCGTGATCACGGAGCCAGCGGAGCTGTAGTGGAGGGTACGTTCTTTGTGAACTCTCTTCCCGCCCGTATTCTTTTCGATTCAGGAGCTTCGCATTCTTTCATCTCGCATGCATTTATGACTAGACTCCAGCTCGTAGCTCAGCCTCTAGATACCCCTCTATCTGTTTCCACCCCTTTAGGTGAGGTATCGCTTCTGGAGAGCGTGTGTAGGAGGTGTACCGTCAGTTTAGACGAGTCGGAGTTCATAGTGGATTTGATAGTGTTGCATATGTCCGAGTTCGATATTATCCTTGGTATGGATTGGTTGTCTTCCTACCATGTTAGCATTGACTGCTTTGCGAAGACAGTCAAGTTGCGAGCGTCCGACGGGTCCGAGATGATTGTAGCCACCTCTCAGGGCAACCGATTTGCGGAGTCATTTCTGGCATACATCGAGGAGGTGATGCGACGGGATCAGGGTGCTGAGTTATTGGAGACTAGAGTTGTCTCAGAGTATCAGGATGTCTTTCAGGACATACCTGGATTACCTCCGGTGAGAGAGGTGGAGTTCTGTATCGAGTTGCAGCCAGGCACAGCCCCGATATCCCGCGCACCCTATCGCATGGCACCAGCTGAGATGAGGGAGCTTCAGACCCAGTTGGATGAGTTGTTAGCTCAGGGTTTTATTCGCCGGAGTCATTCTCCGTGGGGCGCACCGGTCCTCTTCGTGAAGAAGAAGGACGGTAGTATGAGATTATGCATAGATTATAGAGAGTTGAACAAGGTCACTATCCGGAATAGGTACCCACTACCTAGGATTGATGACTTGTTTGACCAGTTGCAGGGTGCGCAGTATTTCTCGAAGATTGATCTTCGTTCTGGCTATCATCAGTTGCGGGTTAGGGAGATTGATATTCCCAAAACCGCCTTTCTTACTCGATATGGTTCTTTCGAGTTCTTGGTCATGCCATTTGGGTTGACCAATGCACCCGCGGTATTCATGGACTTGATGAACCGGGTGTTCCGTCCCTTCTTAGATCAGTTCGTGATCGTTTTCATCGATGATATTCTCATTTACTCGAGGTCGGAGGCGGATCATGAGGAGCATCTACGGATAGCATTGAGGACTCTTCAGGAGCATCAGTTGTATGCTAAGTTCAGCAAGTGCGAGTTTTGGCTTTCAGAAGTTAGATTTCTTGGCCATGTCATCAGTCGAGAGGGTATAGCAGTGGACCCGGCTAAGGTCACGGCAGTCCTTGATTGGGAGCCACCGAAGACGGTGACAGAGATTCGCAGCTTTTTGGGCTTAGCTGGATATTATAGGAAGTTCATTCAGGACTTCTCGAAGATTTCGACGCCTATTACACACCTTACGAAGAAGGGTGTACAGTTCATATGGAGCATGGAGTGCCAGAAGGCCTTTGATATTTTGAAGACTAAGTTGACTACAGCGCCGGTTTTGACTATTCCGAGCAGTGACAGAACATTTGTTGTGTATACGGATGCATCATTGGCAGGCTTAGGAGGCGTATTGATGCAGACTCAGAGAGTGGTGGCCTATATCTCACAGCAGTTGAGGGTGCATGAGCAGAACTACCCCACTCATGACTTGGAGTTAGCAGCAGTGGTGTTTGCACTGAAGTCATGGAGGCACTACTTGTATGGAGTACAGTTTGAGCTGGAGGCACTACTTGTATGGAGTGCAGTTTGAACTATTCACAGACCATCAGAGTCTGAAGTACCTCTTTTCTCAGAAGGAACTCAATCAGAGGCAGAGGAGGTGGATTGAGTTTATCAAGGACTACGAGTTCGCGATTCAGTATCATCCAGGGAAGGCGAACGTCGTAGCAGATGCTTTGAGTAGGAAGCGTCGGCATCGGGTTGCGGCTTTGAGGTGTTCCTTGTACAGAGATCTTATCACTCTTAGCCAGTTTGATATTAAACCTGAGATTGGAGGAACCAGTGCATTCTTGGGAGCCATGTCAGTGCAGCCATCTTGGAATGACAGGGTTGTCAGAGCTCAGTTGGAGGACTCTTGGATTCAAACCCGTAAGGGGGAGATTTCCAAAGAGCCTAAGGTGGACTGGACCATTGGAACAGATGGAGGATTACGGATGAAGGGTAGATTGGTCATGCCAGCCAGTGCAGAGTTGAAGAGGGAGTTATTTGGCGAGGCGCACCGTACGCGGTACACAGTACATCCAGGGACTACCAAGATGTACAAGGACCTGAAGAGGCATTTCTGGTGGAGTGGTATGCGGAGAGAGATTGCAGACTATGTGGCTAGATGTTTTACCTGTCAACAGGTGAAGGCAGAGCATCAGAGACCGGCAGGGACACTGCAGCCTTTACCCATTCCAGAGTGGAAGTGGGCAGATATTTCCATGGATTTTATTGTGGGGTTGCCGAAGTCGAAGAAGGGGAATGATTCAGTTTGGGTGATAGTGGACCGGTTAACGAAGTCAGCACATTTTATTCCAGTGAGGACCACTTATACAGCCGAGACTTATGCGAGGATCTTCATTCGGGAGATAGTTCGACTTCACGGGGTCCCGGACACGATCGTGTCGGATCGAGGATCGGTTTTCACTTCACATTTTTGGAGGAGTTTCCAGGACTCATTTGGCAGCACGCTATCTTATAGCAGTGTATTTCACCCGCAGACGGATGGTCAGACGGAGAGGGTGAATCAGGTATTGGAGGACATGTTGAGGGCATGTGTCATTGACTTCCAAGGTAGCTGAGAGGATCATATTCCATTGGTAGAATTCGCTTATAACAACAGTTATCAAGCGACGATCGACATGGCTCCGTATGAGGCATTGTACGGGAGGCCCTGTAGATCACCGATATGCTGGGCAGAGCCAGAGGATAGCTTGATGCTTAGGCCAGAGCTTGTGAGGCAGACTACTGAGAAGGTAGCATTGATCAGAGAGCAGATCCTAGCCGCTCAGAGCCGGCAGAAGAGTTATGCAGATAAGAGGCGAAGACCCCTAGAGTTTCAGATTGGGGATTTGGTTATGTTGAAGGTATCGCCTATGAAAGGCATGCAGCGGTTCGGGAGGCGAGGGAAGCTTGCATCGAGATATATTGGACCTTTCCAGATTTTGGAGCGTATTGGAGCGGTGTCATACAGACTAGATCTTCCAGCATCTATGTCTAGTGTGCACAATGTGTTCCACATCTCTATGCTCAAGAAGCACTTGCATGATGAGGAGCAGCAGCGAGTGTTGGATATACCGGAGATTGAGCTTCGGGATGATTTGTCTACTATTGAGATCCCAGTGTCTATTCTTGCTAGAGAAAACAAGAGACTCAGGAACAAGGTGATTCCATTGGTGAAAGTTCAATGGAACCGAAGTGGAGTTGAGGAAGCTTCTTGGGAGCGCGAGGAGGACATGCGACGCGACTACCCACATTTGTTTGATCAGGTAAATAAATTTTATGACAAGTGCCTTATACTATGTTGATATATTGGATTAGATCTATTTAACACTAGAATGAGAATATCTTCGCCCAATTCTTAATCTCTTGGAACACATGGTATATGTATGGGGGGTTCCTTGTTTGGATTTTTCACCCGATGTACTAGTTCCACTAGATTAAGGCTTGAGCGAGAATGTTATCATTTTGGACGGTTAAGTATAAATATCCATGTGCGCTCATCTAGAAATTTCATATTTCGAGATGAGTATGATTTTTGAATTTCGAGGACGAAATTCTTTTAAGGGGGGAAGAATGTAGAACCCCGTAAATTTATTAATGAATATATTGAGTGATTAGTGATAAACTTTTCTTTTGAGATGAATAACCATGTATATGTTAAATAAATGTGATAAATAGTGTTTGGGAGCCTAGCAAGAATTTCTATGTTATAGAAATCAAGGAATTGATCAGCAGCATAGCAGGCAGTTGTTCTGCTGTGCGGTCGACCGCGATGTGCGCGGCGGTCGACCGCACAGCAGTCGGGCACACAGGAGACTTTTCTCCTGCTGTGCGGTCGACCGCGCAAGGCGCGGCGGTCGACCGCACAGCAGGCAGAGAGTTTTTCTGTGTTGGGTCTTAATGGGTTTCGGGTCGGGTTCGGGTCGGGTTGTGGGGTTAGTATATATACTATCATACCGGGATAGTATATATACTATTATACCCAAGAGAGCCCCATTTTTCATCTGATATCAGAACCCTAGCCCCCTCTCTCCCCTCAAACCCTAGTTTCTCACTCCTTGGTGATTTGGAGGAGCTTTGGAGGGCTTTTCAGCAAATTTTTGGTGGATTCAGCGAGAGGGATCATCTTCCTCCAGATCTAGGGCTTCGTTTTCGTCGTAGGCGAGTAACATCCCGCCCAACTTCATCCCTTTTCCTTTTTATGCTTGGATTTGAGTTTTATTCGGTTTTTATTGAGCCTAAAATCGTATTTTTGTGTAGATAAGTAGATCTTATGGCATGGGATGCAAGAATCATATATTTCAGTCTTAAAAAGTTCACTAATGATGTTTAATTAAATGAGTTTTTGATCTGAAACACTTTTATGAGAGTTAAACTCATTTTTACTATTTAAGAACTTTTAAAATCATGTTGTTTAAGGTTTGGGATTTTTGATAATGAGGTTTTAACCATTTAAACTTGTTGTGTATTGCCGTAGTTCTCTATTAAAAAATTATAGTGTAATGGGTATAGAAATCCCCAAGTTTTTGTATGAGTTCGGTAGCTGACAGAACCCAGAATGAGGTTCTGTCCGCCCAGCGGTCGACCGCATAGGACTCAGCGGTCGACCGTCCTGGTCAGTCGACTGGCGAGCTGAGGCTGTGCTGTCTGAGCTCCATCAGTCGACGTATGAGTCGACTGACGTCATCAGTCGACACATCAGTCGACTGATGAGCTGTTTTACAGATTCTTGATCTGTTTAAGTTGTCTTTCGGGGTCGCCTCGGTAACCTGACCCTAGTTTATCACGTTAATGATTTATCTGTGCATGTGGGTTGACTTTTGACATGAGTTTAGACATGTACATCGGGATGCGTGCGGGTTTAGATTTGGTGTATTTTTACATGTATGCAAGTGATAAATTACATTTCCTTCATTTATAGTCTACGTGTTGGACAATACATTATTCTGATCCATGTGTTGGATACTTACCATCTTGGTCCATGTGTTGGACATGCATTCTATTCAGTCCATGTGTTGGACCTACATCACTTTTAGTCCATGTGTTGGACATTTTTGCCAAACCTTGAGCATGGTACACATTTGAGTTTTGGAACACGATTTTTTTTGATACCGTTAAGACATGATAGCTACCTAGACTGGGAATGACACTTATGTAGAATACGACTTGATATTTTATGGCATGGGACACCACATGATACTCTACTTATGTTCTGAGATGGGTTGTCTTTCCTTTTATTTATTTTCTGTTCACGTATTAGACTCCGGGTTTGGTACTTAGGTACTTTCAATTTGGGATATAAGGTATATACATGAGGGTTTCCTTGTCTGTATTATTTCGCTCGACGTACCTATGCCCGTGTTGAAACTTCCTAAGTACTAAAACCTATTGTTTATTTTTAGGATAATTGATTTTATATATATGTATTTTGTGATAACTGTATTTCCTTATACAACGAGCCCTCCCCCTTGGGGTTGGTTGTGATGTTGCTCGCTAGCACTTTGACGCTCGTTGTCCCTCCCCCTTTCAGGTCACGAACCAGGAACCCGGAGAGTCGCAGGTTGATGGCGACACACTTTAGTGTTCGACTGTCTATTCTAGCTATGCTTTATTTTGGAGCTCCACTATAGACTTTGTTTAGACATTTAAGGACTTTATTCTAGATGTTGTAAAGGCTGTGTGCCTTATTTCCTTTATTCAGACTTGTTGTATTTGAGATGTATTAAGAACTCCAGTTTGTTCATTTTAGACATTGACTTTATATTCCTGTGTGTTGGATGATGAAATACTATTTGATCTTTATCGTCTCATCAGTTATCTCTTGTAGTATCTCTTACTTGCTTTTGTACCTACACCTATTATTGACCCACTAGAGTGATAAAATTGTGATGGTGAAATATGTTATTGCACGGTGTAGTGCATGGCAGGTTTGACATTCTTGGCTTCACCTCGGACTGCAGTCTTGTGTGAACCCAGGGGCGTCACAGCCATGAACTACTGAGCTTCATGGACGCTTTCTCTAGTTACAACTAGATTCTTATGGCGATGTATTACTAAGAGAAGAACTCATTCATTACTGACCAGGGAACTTATTACTATAAAGTAATACCCTTCAATCTTAAGAATGCATGTGCCACATATCAGAGACTGGTGACCAATATTCACAAACCCCAAATCAGCCGCAACGTGGAAGCCTATGTAGACGACATCCTAGTGAAGTCAAATTTGGCATCATCCTACGTGTCAAATCATGAAGAAACCTTTTTGGTTCTCTGACGCTATCGCATGAAGCTCAATCCAGCCAAATACATTTTTGAGGTGCAATCGGTCAAATTCTTCAGGTTCATGATCACCAAAAGAGGTATTGAGATCAACCCCGAGAAGATAGCTGTCATAGAGCAAACCTGAATGTCGTACGCTGAAGGATGTCAAGAGGCTAAATGGAAAGATAGCAGCATTGGGCCGCTTCCTCTCGAAGTCAGCTGAGCGGAGCCTCCCCTTTTTCAAAATCCTCAGAGGAAGCAAGGAGCTGAAGGAAGGCAAGAGCTGGACACAGGAGTGCACTAAATCCTTCAAAGACCTTAAAATATACCTGAGCACCAAGCCTATATTGAGCCAACCCATAGAAGGAGAGATTGTGTACCATCCACCGAAACTGTCAGTTCTGTCCTAGTTCAAGAGGAAGAGAATATGCAGAAGCCAGTGTATTATGTCAGTCGAATCTTGAAGGGGGTAGAACTCAACCCTCTTATTGAAAAGGCCTCCTTCATTCTTATCACTTCAGCAAGAAGGCTTCACCCTTACTTTCAAGCACACACTATAGTTGTGTGAACGAACATGCCTTTGAGGAAGGCACTAGGCAGCCCTACCACTTCAAAAAGATTGGTCACACGGTCGGTCGAACTCAGTGAATATGATGTATAGTTCAAGTCGAGGACTACCATTAAAGCTCAGGTCTTGACCGACATCTTGATCGAGTTGACCTCAACAAATGAACAACCATCTCCACATCTACCACTTGCCCAACCGAAGTCTTTGACATCTCAGGTAGTCAAGGTACTTGCAGATCGGACGAATCGCATCCTTAAGCATGATACACCAAAATTCTCCTCTTGTTGGTTACTAAAGGTAGACGGGTCCTTTGGCGAAGCAGACAATAAAGCAGGAGTAGTTCTGGGTAGCCCTGATGGGTCAACACACGAGTACTCCATCGCTTTTGATTTCTCTACCTCGAATAACGTGGCTGAATATGAAGCACTTTTGGCGGGTCTTCAAGCCGTCTTGATAGTGAAAGCTGAGCGCCTCTACATTTTGGCTGACTCCCATCTTGTGGTTCACCAAGTAAATGGGGAGTATGCGTCCAAGGATTTGAGGATTATCCTGTATCTGAAGATGGTCAAAGAACTATTGAGCAACTTCATGGACTTCAAGATTGCCCAAGTCCCCCGCGTCCTCAATGCTCGGGCGGACGCCCTATCCAAGCTTGGATCAACATACTCAAAAGGAAATCAGGGCCTGTGTACAGAAATACCCTCAAGCATCCTAGCATCACGGAGACGTCAAACACAGTATTGCAGACCGAGACGTCTACAAAACCTTGTTGGATGGTTCTAATCATCCAATATCTAATAGGGAGGCATCACTAGAGAATGCCACTGAAGCCAGGAAATTACAAAGGAATGCTCAACGATATCTCATGATCGATAACCAATTTTATCGATGGTGTGGGGCCGTATCTCTGGTGTCTTTGGCCAGTAAAGGCCAACTTTGTTCTCAGAGAAATTCACGAAGAAACTTGTGGGAATCATCCCGAGGCCAGAACCCTCTCACAAAAAGTCATTCGCGAAAGGTATTATTAGCTTATTATCTTGGCTGAGTCCAGGAGACTCGATTCTTTGTGCAAAAAGTGCCAATTCTTCTCTAGCATATTAAGAGCTGCAGCCATTGAGCTCTCCTCCATTTTGAGCCCGATTCCATTTGCTTAGTGGGGATTAGATCTATTGAGACCTCTTCTAATAGCCTCGGGGTAGCGAAAAGTTTTTATTGTGGTCATCAACTACTTTACTAAGTGGATCGAGACCAAGCCTTGGCCAAAATTGCTGAGAGTAATATCACTAATTTCATATTGAGGTCCATTGCCTGCCGGTTTAGTGTCCCTCTCTATTTCATCATGGACAACGATACTCAGTTCGACAGTGGAGGCTTTCAGAGTTTTTCAAAGAGTGGAATATCCAACTCTGATTCACCTCGGTTGCACATTAGAAGTGAAACGGAATAGCAGAGACTGCCAACAAATGCATCCTCTAAGCTTTAAGGATGGTAGGTGGACGAGGTAGTCGAAAATTGAGTTGAATAACTATCTGGAATCCTATAGTTTTATCGCACAGCTCATAAGAGCTCTATGGGTGATACCCCCTTTAAGCTTGCTTATAGAGTCGAGATGGTTGCCCTAGTCAAAGTCGGCATGATAACAATCTGAGTGTAGCATTTCGATGAAGATTTGAATTCATAAGGGCTTCGAATAGGGCTCGATCTCATTGATGAAGTCCAGGAAAAGGCTCTTCGATCCTATGTCATCAACCAACAATGTATTGCAATGCACTACATCAGCAAAGTCTGCCCCCAAAGATTCAACATCGGTGATCTAGTTCTTCAGAAATCCATTTTCGACAGAGATACCAAGGGCATCAAATTGGTCGTCAATTGGGAAGGACCTTATACATTCATCGAAGAAGTGCACCCAAGAACCTATAGATTGAAAAGCCCTGACTGAAGAATCTTACAACATCCCCGGAATATCGAGCATCTCAAAAAATACTTTCAATAATCTTGATTGTAAGACTCATTTGTAATATAAAATCATTTGTGTTTAACAAATTTATCATATTATGCTCTTGTGGTTCTATAAATACTCGCAGGAAGTTGAGGTCGACTCATACTAAGACCTTGGCATCATTCTCCTAAGTCCAAAACACGTACCAAAAGGCCTTTAGTGTCATTCATATGAGTAAAACCAATGCACTCCATCAGCAAAAAACCTTGGTACCCTCTCGGAATAAAACCAAGGTGCGCCAACCACTCGGTCGGCTTCAACTCAAAAGGCATTAATGTTATTCATATGAGTAAAACCAAGGCACTCCATCAGCAAAAGACCTTGGTACCCTCTTGGGATAAAACCAAGGTGTGCCAACCACTTGGTCGGCTTCAATTCAAAAGCCCTTGGTGTCATTCATATGAGTAAAACCAAGGCACTCCATCAGCAAAAGACATTGGTACCCGCTAGGGATAAAATGAAGGCGTGCCAACCACTCGGTCTGCTTCGACTCAAAAGGCCTTGATGTCATTAATATGAATAAAATGAAGGCACTCCATCAGCAAAAGACCTTGGTACCCTCTCGGGATAAAACCAATACACGTGAACTACTCGATCAGCTTTGACACAAAAGACATTGGTGTCATTCATATGAGTAAAACTAAGGCACTCCATCAACAAAATACCTTGGAACCCTCTTGGGATAAAACCAAGGTGCGCTAACCACTCTGTTAGCTTGGACTCAAAGGACCTTGGTATTATTCATATGAGTAAAACCAAGGCACTTCTTAGGTAAAAAACCTTGGTACCCTCTAGGGATAAAACCAAGGCTCGCAAAAAATCAATCGAATTTAAAGACCTTAGTGTCATTCACATGAATAAAACCAATGCACTCTCTCGACACTAAAGACTTTGGTATCTATTTAGGGAAAAACCAAGACTCTCTAGCTATTCAGCCGAATGCAAAGACCTCGACCTCATTTAGGAGTAAAACCAAGGCATACAACAAGATAAGCGACGCATGCTACACACGTAGCCAAGTCGCCATAATCAACACACCAGTCACAAATCTCACAATGAGATAAAAATTGCAGATAAACACAAATAGAAACATATCAACCAAGAAGATGAAAGCCTATTTTTTTATTTATATATCAATATATTTACGTCACTATCCTCATTGATGTTTACAATAAAAAATATATTAAGATCTTAGGGATCCTGGCTCATATGTGGAGTGCGACTCAAAAGAAGGGCACTTGACTCAGGAGTAGGGGCGACTTTATCCAGAGCGTCCCTTTAAAATTCTTCCCCTTATTTCTCATCTCTCTCATCCTCGTCGTCCACATATAGCACTATGCCCCCTCCCTTTTTTTGTATCTCCTTTAAAATGTCAAATCAGTTGGTGACACGAGAGGGATAGTACAGATAATTTAGAGTGGGTTTGGATTCACGAGGAAGCAGTTCCAGAAGATAGTTGAATCTATCCTTACATGCTAGCGACACGAACCTTACCTATGGGGCTATCACGATATTTTCCCACGATTTCTCCCCTATAGGTGATGTAGGACGCTTAACTGAAAATTTTATGGGGGGATGCAGATAATCACGAGCTAAATACAGATTTATATGTATTATTGATCTTCGCAAAGAAATGATCATATCTTCCAACCCAGAAGGCAGATTCTAACATATTATATATGTAAATTGTCTATCTCGACGAGACGGAACCAACTAGATTGCCAGATTTTTAAAATCTCATCATTTACACCCAGTTTTGACTAAAATCTGAAAATAATCAGCCTTTAGTTTATTTTTAGTAATAAAGTTGGAGTCTATTTAGATTAGAAAATAAATTCAATTTTAGAGTCAAATTAGATTAGGAAACAAATTCAATTTTGATTCATGATTTGTTTTCTTTATTATAGGGAGACTTTTTAGGATAGAATTTAATACTTTTTATTTATTTTTATAATTTTAGTCTTACTAGGAGACTTATTTATTTTTCTATTTAAAAAGAATCATGTAACCCCAAAGGAAAACAACTTGTTTTATCAATAAAATTTCTCTTTCAATATTTTCTTCGTGGATTCAGAGATTGTTCTTTGTGGATTCAGAGAACGCCCCCTTCATGGATTCTGAGGTTTTACTTTCGTGTTGCGTTAATATCATAAGTATTTAATTATACTTTTAAATAAATTATTCAATAACTAGCTAATATAAATAACTATTAAATGGATTAGTTAATAATAGTGTAACTTAAAATTTTCAATAATAGTATAGTAAAATAACTTATAACATAATTATACAAATATTAAATAATATAATATTAAATAGAAAAATAAATATATCTATGTGCAAAGCTCATGCATTATATTAATTATATTAAAAGTCATATAGCCTGGTTTAGCCCATATAGTTAACAAATTATCATTTAGAATTCCATGTGAAAAATTTTGCGCAAGTTAGTATAATCAGTCACTAGGGATATGCTCCAAGATATCATTGGCATAATGTACACAAAAGTAGATTCTTAAACACTAGGAATTTCTATTGCCATCCATGTTAATTAGGATAGCAACAGAGATCAAAAAAGAAGAAAAATAACATAAAAGAAATTAAGAAAACATAATAGAAATTAAACACACAAAAAAAAAAACAATAGATTTCTACATTATAAAAGAGATTGAAGAAAATATTTATCTCAATGGCAAAAAATCACAGATCTGAAGAACAAGTGGAAAGATTATGCAAGAAATAAACCCCACATTCAGATCAACAGTAGATCAGAACCAAAATATATTGTAACCTAAGTAGATCATAAGTGAAGTATAACAACAACCAACCTCAATTAAGCGTGAACCCCAAAAGCTAAAAATATTTAAAATTTCATCATCAATCTTAGATCCAACCATGATTGGGTCATCTAGGGTTTTTACTGGAGGTAGAGGAGACATGGAATAGAAGTCATCGAAAAGAAAGAGGAGAGAAAGGAAGCGAATGACGAGAAGAATGACCACGAAATAGAGGAGAGAATGAAAATTGGGAGTGAAAGGGAGTCCTAAATATTTCTACTCTCTGATGATTAGAAGAAAATAATAAAGGGGATGAAAATGGGTTACGGGTATTAGAACTCATTTTTATTACAATGTGTCAGATTTCTAGGCAATTTTAGCCTATATGGAAGCATTTGTGTTTCTATAAAATACACTCATTTTCTCTACTTTGATGAGCTAAGCTAGAGTTTTAGGAATTCAGGAACCATTTAATAAAAAAAATACCACTATCAGATGATTTCCATAAAAACCAGTGAACCAAATAACCCCTAAAAAATACAGTCAACTTTCCTTCTACTAGATAGGATGTCCGTGCATTGCACGTGGTCAAATAATCTTAATTGTTTTTTTGAGTTTATTTTTACTATAAGTTGGTTGTAGAATAATTTATGGTTATCATAAAACCTATTTAAATTAAAATTCCTAAATATCTTGATGGGTAAAAGCCTGTTGGTTTCAATCTTTTTCCCTCTAGAAATAATAGCAAAATTTAGATTCTTAAAAAATAGCATTGTAAATAATAAACTATCCATCTGACAAGCTTGTATATTGCATATGAAAAATCAAACTATTTAGGTTGTTCATCACAATAAATTAGTGATGAAACCCTAGTATAGTGTGTGCGCTTTGCACATAAAACTTGGACATAATTATTTTATATTTTATGTTTTTCATTAACAAGAAAATGATGACGTGACTCAGAGGGAAAAAATAAAGATTAAAGTAAAGCATGAATAGTGCAATTT